TATCATAGTGTCTGAAATTAAGGATGAATTAGAATTGAATACAGTAACAATAGAAACTGATTATTAGTTATTGACAAAATATATCAATAAATTATAATTTATAAAAAAAAGTTTTCAATATTTTTTTGCCCGTGAACGACCATGTAGGATTAAAAATATCGAAGTATTTTGCAGGAGTATTACCCCATTTAACGCATCAACATAGAGGAGAGTTCTGCAAACAGTTTGTTCTATTGAAAGGTAAAATGAATAATTCATGTGCTCTTATATTGTTCTATTCGAAACATCTGAGCAAATTATTGATAATAACGAAAGACAATTCATTTTGTTCTTTAATATTTTTTGTGAAAATAAAGTATCTGATATGTTACGCCTATGTTCGAACGATACAAACTGGAGGTCTCGTCTAATTAGCAGAATATCATTGTTCCCAGTGATTGATACCTTACCATAAATGAATTATTTGATAAGTTATCAGTTGAATAATATCAACTTTTTATATTGTGTTATGAAGCACGAAGTTGAGAATCATACTAACACGGCCAATATTGCCAAGTCACGCTCATTTTTAGCAGCAGATTTTGTATCGGGAAAATATTACTTAGATTGAATTAAAAACCAGCAGAAAATTTTTCTTTATTTCACAGTCATTTAATGATTAGGTACTATGGAAAGTAATGAGTCTTCATGTAGAGTAGATTGATTCGTCATATTTCGTAGTCTAATTTCAGTACAACTTCGTTGTGAAAAGTTCAATGTAAATAATTTGTGATAGATATTGTTCACTTGGCTACCATTATGACATAAGAGTTCTTAGTATAGAGCAATCCAAACCACGTGACTGTGACCCAATATGGCGGCGTAGGGCAAACAATCTAATTATTGTCATAAGAGTATTATTGGTTGTGGTGTTGTTCGCTATTGTGGAGTGTTTTTTCACATTTTTGGAGCTTTTTGTGGTGTTTAAATTCAATCAAAATGGAAAGTGAATACTTGAAATCACTATTGCTGAACAGCAGAGACGTTGCTAAACGGTATGTTCAAAAAAATACACCATCATCTGTTTACATTTTTATCACTGTGTTACAGATATATAATGAACTTGAGATTGGTCAATGGTTTAGACCCTCTCTCATTGAATGTTTCTAGTTTGGATTATTCAATGGATGTTGTTACATAACTGGTGTTACTAGTTACATATGTGGATATTGCTTCATATTTGGTTTTTATACCCACAGTTTTTATTTGCATGTGCAGATGGAGGCATATAAAGGTTTGGAATTGTATATATATTTTGAATCTGGCTTCGTTTTGAAGGTGGGAACAAAGATTGATATCAATTTATACATTTCAGTTGGACAGGTGAGTTTTTCTAAGCAAGCAGTATGCTAACTTTCTGATTTCCTAATGGTATAGTTAATTCATCTAAGAAGCGATACACGTGAAACTGTGTGTATCCATGATCAGCTATATATACCTGTGACTTTTTATGTTTATTGTCTTCTTTGTTGATCAAGAGAATGATTCAATTTTTCATTTGAGAGTCCCAGAGTGATTCTTACAGTAGAGACTGATCTTAATGACTTATTTTCAGGTCAAGCATTCACAGAAAGCAAATGCGAAACCTTTAGATGTTTGGTGCATCATAGCAAAAGATGGAAGCGTATGTACAGCTCACTGTACTTTTATGGCCGGAGACAGTGAAGTTTGTAGTCACGTTGGCGCCATATNTTTTGTCCAATCCAACCGACCTTGAAGGTGTTACCATTTTGAGATAGCAATAGTGAGATCAACTAAAAAAACGGCCTGTATAAGGTAGTTTATCAGCAGTCATTACGGAACTTTTTATATTTAGTGGAGGAGCAGAAATCCACCATAGCAATTATTTATGTATCAAGTTACGACGAGTTTCATTTTGTGTAAAAAAAACGGCCTGTATAGTCCCAAACCAAGAAGAGACGACTGGATCCTTCCGGAGAATCAGATAGCTGCTGTCTCAAAAATGAATCAAGAATACTCTTAGGTTTTGCAACAAATTTCATCAGTAGCAGACCTAGGAAAGAGGTAATTTCGTAAATGTCTGTCGGATATTAGTCAGGGAAGTAGTTGTTTTACGGTAGGTATTATCCAGACCCCACTGCGTCGGGCGAGATGAATGTTTGCACATTACATTCAATTTATACGTCATTTTCTCATTCCGAAATGAATATTTTCATATATTTTTCCAACTTGTAACGTGAAAATTTGACTTTATCACCCATCCAATCTAATAAACATCAGCTATTTCTTTTTTTGATAATTCTGTATTTCATGGAATAGTTGGTGGTCTGAAGAAAAACGAATTATTATTGAAGGAATTCATTTTCCATAATTACCAGTAATTTACTTGGTAGTTCAGAAAGAAGGAATGCTCAATGAATACTTCACATAAAGCCATTTGAGTAGACAAATTTCGTCATCGTGTACGTCAGAGGAGGTGAGTTATTTCAACTGTTCAATTTCTCGAACTAATACTACAACTGGGATAATTTTCTACGGACAAGTACAGCCTTTGGTATTTTCCACGGAACGTGGGTTGTCCAACCGCCGTGAACGTTTTGTCTGGTTTGAAATACTTTTGGATCTCCAAATACCGTCTTTTGCTGCCGACCAGTTTTGGGAAAAGGAAAGTTGAGCTGCTACAGTTCAAAGTATACTTCTCGAATCCAGGGTATTTATAATATAGCCAAACAGCGGAACTATATCGTTTTCCAACCTTTCAGACTCTACCTGAACCCTCAGACAGCCTGTTGCTGATAACATCCAGAAAAAAGTTACTCATATGGTGAACAATTTCCAATTTTTTTCTACGTCGGAGTTGATTTTCGTTACAAAGATAATTTACATTTGGATATCTTGTTGTTTCCCTTTTGAATTAAATGTACCTACATGTGTCAAACGTTTCAAAAATCATTTTTGTAGCCTTGATGCCAGGAAAAAAATACCTCGCAACAAACACAGTAGAACCTTCATTAGGGAACCGTCCGAGAAAAGAACTGAAGAACTACTTCAATATAAGAGGGATCGGCTCAGAATAATTGCAGGGTTACTAACCGGTCATTGTCCGCTTAGAGGACACCTGAATGAAATGGGGCTGTACAACGGAGACCTCAGCTACATATTATGCAACGAAAGGATAGAAACAGCTTTACACAACTTATGCGAATGTGAGGCACTGAATCACATGAGGCACGCTATATATGGACGTACAAAATTACGCCCAGAAGAATATGACGAACATCCAACATGGAACCTGTACAAAATAGAACAGAGAACGAGACTGATGAAATGGGTGTCATGAGAAGATTGGAGAATAAACGCAATAAGCCCAAGAGACTGCAGTGTTTTCTGGAGACTTGGACTAAATGGACAAGTCAGACCTCTCACAAGTTACAAAAAAAACCTTGCTGGAAGTCATATAAATTTATACATAGTTTCTTTTATTAAGATACTACTGCAGCTGCAGCGTCGTCGTATCATTTCATTTGTTATGTTACCGAATTATATACTTTTTAATAAAGAAAACTATAAATGCTTTCTAGCTATCATATATTTTTGAGATCTTAGTCTGAAACGACGATTAGATTCATTATCGACTCAAGAATATTTTTATTTCTTGATTTTAGTGAATTAAAATGAAGTGGCGCCCCATCCATAAAAAATAAAACAAAACACGACCGCTGCTCTCCCAATAATATTGACTGCAATTTGTTGCCTTTTTTTTGAAATTCTTTCTTAGGCGTCGAATATAGATCACCATAAATAATATTATCTGAAAAAGGTGATAGACTACGCCACTAAAGATGACTGCCGCAATTGCAGTTGAAACATTTCGAGAATGTAATCAAAGAAGACCATGGCAAAACCCAGAAACCAACCAAAACATGAAAGAACAGGTACCTACCAAGAATGCTTCAACACTTAGAAAAAAGGTAACATGAACTGTTTATAAGAATGATTCCAGGCCACCGAGTTTTCTAGCATGAAAAATATCTGAAAAAGTGCAGACNCATTTGAAATCTAAAAACGTGGTTATATAGGGAGTTTGTAGGTAAGTTGAGTGAACAGGGGTGCCAACCATAAGAATTCAACGATGGAGATTATGAAAATTACTATGGTGATTACCAGGGTAAGAAATCACCGGAGTAATTACCAAGGTAATTTATTACCCTGGTAATTTCATCAGGATGAAAAATTACCCTCTTACCCAGGTGAAAATCCGAAACCGGTCGTAAAAATAAAATAACTAGTAGAAATCAAACAAAAGCGTTTTCATTCATTTCATTAAAGTCATCATGAATTTCCACGAAATGAACGAGTCATCAGTTACACAAATAAATGGAAATATATTCGAAATCAAATGAGCGTCACTTGGATAGGCCTCAGTTCTTGGCTACGAGCAGGAACCACGGTAGAAAAACAGTTACTGTGATGCAGAAAGTGACACATAAGCTCGCTGTTAAAATTTCCGCTCCCTGCTCAAGCCAGCTGTTATCTTCAAGTTCGTGTGAGGGCCTGTGAAATTCCTTGACGTCGACGTCGTAGCGAAACCTCACCCTGAAAAATATAATAATTATGAGTATATTTTAATCAGTTGAAATAGAGTTTTATGATAAAATCCTGTGATTGGTATTCAACGTCCAGGTGAGGCCTGAGACATAAAACAATGAAGCTTGTCGCCCACTTGTCCGGCACAACACACCACGGCCCGTCCCATCAAAATACGGATAGGATTGGAACAATGAAAATGAATGGACAACCGCTCACTAGCCCGGCACGGCACAGACAAGAGCGTCCGCCGCCGGAAAGGATTCCAGCTCTCCTGTCCGGCAAATAACGGTACGTGCTGTGATGGACTGGCCAAGTGAGCGCGTCGTTGGCCAGCGCTTGCCAGCATCAACTTGTCCAAACGTGCCTGGGAAGTTTCTGTATCTCTGTTTTGCTATTCCATCAGTTGACAGCATAGTGTCTATTCCATCAGTTGACAGCACAGTGTCATACGGTACCTATGAAAATGTACGAGGAAAAATTGAGTTGTTTGTTAAGTCAGACTCTAGAATATCCAGAAGTTGTGAAAATTTGCCTGGAGTCATTCGGCAATACTGGAAAAATTTCTCCTCGTCTTCTTTCAGATCGTTGAGAAGATGATGAAACTCTCCCAGATTTGCCCTTTTTTGATTAATGGGATGGACCCACAATAATTTTCTTCTACATTTAATAACGCGGCCCCTATAATGATTTCATCGTCAGAACTACTAGTGATAGATATGTTTATGTCAGCTGAAATTCCCTTGAAATCGAACAAACAGCACCTTCAGTTGCTGGTTGTAGCTGGACAAGTGGCCGATGCTACAACCCGTCATCATCAGGCTGAGGACAGCGCCATTATGTAGCTTAAAGCTACAACCAGCATACTGAAAGTGCTGTTTGTTCGATTTCAAGGGAATTTTAGTTGACATAAACATGTCTATCACTAGCAGTTCTGATGAAGAAGTCATTATAGTGGCCTGATGGCGACGGGGCATCGGGCATCGCCCGATCGCATACTGAAGATGCTGTTTGTTCGATTTCAAGGGAATTTCAGTTGACATCAAGCGGTGACAGAAACATGTCTATTACTAGCAGTTCTGATGAAGAAGTCATCATTATAGTGGCCGCATTATTGAATGTAGAAGAAAATAGTTACAAAAAAGAAAGTTTTTAACGACCTGAAAGAAGACGAGGAGAAATTTTTCCAGTATTTCTTAATGACTTCAGGCAAATTTTCAGAACTTCTGGATATTCCAGAGCCTGCCTCAACAAGCAACTCAATTTTTTCTCGTCCATTTTCATAGGTACCGTCTGACACTGTGCTGAAAACTGTGAATAGCAAAACAGAGAGACAGAAACTTCCCAGGCACGTTTGAACAAGTTGATGCTGGCAAGCGCTGGCCGGCGTTCACTTGTCCAGTCCGTCACAGCACGTATCGTATTTGCCGGACAGGATCGGAGAGCTGGAATCCTTTCCGGCGGCGAACGCTTTTGGTTGTGCCATGTCCATTCATTTTCATTGTTCCAGTCCTATCCGTATTTTGACGGGACGGGCCGTGCTGTGCTGAGCCGGACAAGTGGGCGACAAGCTTAATGATCCAATAAAGTTCATATGAACGAGTGTTCTAACTTGTTTCGTTTCCGAATAACGAGGTGTCACAGTTTTACTAAAAATATTGTTCGTTTATGAATAACTCACAATCATTTTCGCCCATTTTGATTAAACTATGTGTGTTTGTTGAGTAACAAGAAGCTTTTCATGAAATTATATTTTGAATTTCAATTTCAGTGGCGTCGCAAATAATTAAAAAAACGTATTACAAGACAAGCTTCAATACGAATGTACTAAATTGAAAACATTTTTTTTTATTCACAACTTTTTTATATGATGGAATCGGCCTATACTTGATGAAAATCCATAACTAACGTATTCCAAAAACACTTTATTGTGAGATTTTCACTAGATTGTTTTACAAAAACGCAACACGTGTTTCGCCATACATCACATATCCCCATAAAAAAATCTAATGATGAAAGATCAGGTGATCGCGCTTGCCATTCAATCGATCCTCGCCACCCTATCCACCGATTGGGAAATGTTGTATCGAGGTATTGCCAAACATCAACTTGGTAATGTGGTGGTGCTCCATCCTACTGAAACCATATCATATTCTCTGGAACTTGAGGGTTTTCTAGATCAGGATATAAATTTGCTGAACTTGGAATGTCATCATTTTGAAGTAGTGCCAAATAATTATCGCCATTCAAGTTGTCCTCGATGAAAAAGGGGCAAATGATATGGTTTCCTACAATCTCTGCCCAAACATTAACCTTTTGAGTGTATTGCGTGTGTTCTTCTCTCATCCAGTTACCCAGTAGCGGCAATTTTGCCGATTAGCATGACCGTTAAGAGCCAAAGTACACTTATCAGAAAACATAACGTCTACTAATTGGATGATATTGTTATCCAACATGTCGATCATTTGCTCACAGAAATAAGTTCTTCTATCAAAATTGTCTTCCATGAGCTCCTGCGTAGGTATCATTATATAGGGATGCATTTTATTTTCTTTTAATATGTTTACTATCGATGTATGGCTAACATTGAATGTAGTGGATGCATGTCTTCTCGATGTATGTTGGTTTTTCTCAAACTCAAGCATCACATCTAATTTAAGTTCATCACTCATTGCATTGGCAGCTGATTCTTTTATTCGCCCCCCATGACCAAGCTCGTGAAACTGCTTCTCTATTTTGCCTATTGTTCCTTGAGATATGGGCGGTAAATTGGGAAGTTTCTCATGAAATAAGCGAGCTTCTTCCTGTTTTGTTCGGGTTTTATCTCCATTATCAATCATTTGTAAAACTGTTATTTTATGCATTTTGTTAATCTAACCATTTGTCAGACTTGAAGTTAACGAAATTTGAACTTAAATTAAAATACTGACGACTAATGTTGTTACATACAAAACAAGTTGACAGAGAGTTTTAAACTAACGTTTCCACGGAAAGTATTTACAGTTTTTTGAAGGAAACCATAAAAAAAATATTGCTATGGTTTTTGCTCACTTTCTCATTATCAATACCTCAATATGAACTAAGTTTTGAGTATATTGCAGTAAGTTTTGAGTGTATTTTATCGAATTTCGGTAACCACAAGATTTTCATTTATTTTATCTCAATTATTGCAATAAACTTGAAAGCGATAACAGTTCTGAATAGAGAATGAAGAGACCTATCAAACGATATATCACAAGTCTATAATTCCCATTTGAAAAATTGGGGGTTGTACCTGTCATTCGACGGGGTTTGCAGTTGGGTTAGCATTTTTCCTTTGAAGTATATCAAATTATTATTTAAATTTGACGTGTTTCGACATTCTGTTAAAATATGTACCGTAACCAAAATAATGAATTTATTCCAATTGGCTTTTACACATTGTATGTATTAAACAAACATGAGCCATCTTCGATTATTTTTCCTCATTTATTTTTGAGTCTTTCGTCGCGAGTGTGAAATTAAAACGTTATTAACATTGAACACCAGGCAATTTTTTTGAAGAATTTGGTTGGTTGGAATTTTTAGTTGTGAAATATTGGTTTTGGGAATAAGTTCTGCTACGAGAATCTTGAGAACTACTATTTTTCGAGAAGTTCTAACATAAAAGTAAATTCGAATAATCAAAAGTTTTATATTGCTCACCTTGAGTTTGTTTCGCTGGAATCTCTTCTCCAAAACAGCGGTCCTGATCCTATTCTGTCTAGAATCCATTCAGGCTCCCTCAAACAAAACTTCTCAACCGATCTCATCACTCGTTTGTTTTGCTTCTCTCAAACTAAAGGTGAAACTCCTTCACGAATCAAATTTATAATAATTCCTAATCAGTTTATTCGCAAGTGCAAGTAGGTACACTGGAACTGAAATCTCGTACTCGTTCCTCCTGTAAACAAAAAAACAGAACACTTCAGATGTGAATTTTGCATATGATAAAATATATATGAGTCAGTACCAGGAAAATATATTCAGTAAGTTTAAAAGCGCTCATCATAGAAAAAGTCGTAGTCAAAAGTAATGACGGAAATGGACAATATAATAGAGCATTATTGGTTATACAGTGCATTTCCTTAATGTCCCCCTTTTATTGTTTGAACTGGTCAACTCAAAAAATTGAAATCAGGGATAATGAAATTAAGGCAAGACTACTTTATTTTGAAGTGAAATTGACAGATGAAACGTTCAAGATGGCGACTGTTTGAAGCTCCTGACAAATGCTTCACAACCCTAGAATATAATGTCAAAATCTTCAACTACTACAAAATGGCGGAACTTTCAATAATTGCCTGAATACATGGGCATTTAACTACATAATATGAGGTAGTAAGCTTGAGGTCAGTTCAGAAGATGCTCGAAATGGTTGCCTTGAAGTTCTTGACATATGAACAGCCTATCCGATATTTCACGCCGAAAACAGTAACGTCAATATCTCTACAAATATTCATTATTCTCTGCCGTATATCCAATATTGAAGCAGGTTCAGTTTCGTACACCTTCTGCTTCAAATAGCGCTATAAAAAAAGTCCAAAGGTGTCAAATCTTGATACCTATTTCTATCCAAAGTCTCCACACAGTAGGAGACACCTCACAAATATTCGTGACGGAATAAGTAGACTGTTCAGGATTCACTCTTACAGGACTTACATATCACCAATTATTTGCACTTGCTGTTCTTCCGGAATGGACGGATGACCTGAGGGCTTTTTGTTATGTACACTACCGGTGGTTGTGAATTTGGATACAAGTTCCCTCAAATATTAGTTGTTTGTCGTTGATATTCAATGATCGATCTTCTCTGATATTGTTTTGAACCACATGACATCAAAGTTTTAGGGTTCCAGCATTTTCTCCGGTAGACAGGAGAGATCGCTACTGGAACCTTTAGTGTAGTAATGAATATTACTGAGTTCAATTCCCCCACCAAACCTTTATTTTTGACACCTCGACACGTGTTTCAATCACCAAGTGATCACCTTCAAAAGAAAGATTAAACTGGGTTTAATCTTCTTCTTGAAGATGATCACTTGGTAATTAAAACACGTGTCGAGGTGTAAAAATAACGATTTGGTGTTGGGAAAGAACTCCGTTCATGTTCACTGAGAGATTTGCTAAAATAAATAATCATTGGTTTGCTTATGATATCTGGTTATTTTTCATTCAGAACTGGATTCAACTGGCATCACTAGATTAATTATTAGCTTCAATTTTCATTAATAAGTTGAAGTTTATCTGAACAAAGTTTCCCCGTTTGAAAGAAATTATTGGTACGAGTTTATAAAATACCTTTTTGGGAATGGTAGTTATTGAATGTTCATAATAGAACGGTTTCATTGTCTTTGTAGACAATCAAAGTTCATATTGATATCAGAATGAAAGTTCATATTAAGTGCATATACACTACAGCATGTCTGATAAGATTTCGTCAGAAACAATGACTTATATATTGATATCTATTCATACGAAATTACTTTGATATCAAAGTACTTTTTATTTGTTAAACAGTGCCCTATATTGATTTCGGTGTGATCGTTCAGTCAAGGAAATCACATAGCACACCAAAATCAAAAAGGTTTCACGATTTAAATTCTCGCATATATATTGAAAAGAGGTTGGAGTAATAATTGATGGTTCTGGGTCCGTACCGGGTATTCAACGTTTGTTTAAAGGTGATTGACAATGTTTCATGATAAATTTCACTAGTTCGGACTTCCATTGTTTAATATATAAAATGATTTGAAATTTCTGAAACAACTAAAAAAAGGGGAATTAAAAAATGCATAGCTGAAAATAACAATTATATTAAGCGAAAATAACCTGAAATGAAAGAATAGTGAAATAAAATACAAGTAAAAATAGAACGATTGAACAAAAATATAAAGAAATAAAAATGAAAATAAAAATAAAAAATTCAAGAGATTCCAAGCCACGTTAGTTCAAGACGTTTCGATTGTTAGTATCTACAATCGTCTTCGGGTGATGATAATAACTGATGTCAGGTTGAATAATATATTTTTCAAAAAAAATTGAAATAACATATTTCAGAAGAGCATTGAAGGTAGACTTCTCTATAATATCTTCAAGAAGGTCATGAAGAATAGTTCAAAGTTCAAGTGAAGATGAATCTCCATATACGAGGTGTGTTCAAAAGTAAGGTGAATGTTAAAATTTCGTGGGTTACGTACATTCGGATTGAGATTTTTTTATTATGTTGGTACACTCGTCTCGAACATATGCTCACAGTTTCAGCTGTTTTGTTTTGTTTGTTGGTAAGAGACATAAAAGTTATATAGAAGTGTTTTGCGTGTTCGCCGCTTTTCTACCATCGAAAAAAATGGATCGAAGAATTTGCATCAATTTTGTGAGAAAAATGGATGTCTCAGCACATCAACCAGTACATCAACAATCGATGAAAATGATGAGAAAGTGAAAAAAATTGTAATGGAGAATCGTCGAATCATTTTTAGAGAAGTTGCTGATAATAGGGGAGCCCAAGCGGGGATTTCGGAATTTACTGAAGCGCGGCAAATTAATATACAGGGCGATACCTTGTACTCGGTTAAGTACCTTAATTTTTGCCCCAACATTACTGACTACCTTCCCAACCCATTCCCGTTGAGTTTACCCTGTAAGGAATTTTTCTGAAAAATCAGTATTTTTCAACATAGTACGCCTGGCCTAATAAATATCCCAATTTAACCGGTAAGAACGGCCTCTTTCTCTCGGGAAAAATCGTGTAGGTAGCTTCACTTCTATCTTCGAGGCATTTTTTTTTACTTCCATTGACTAGAATAGGATTAAGTTTGATAAGTTCGATAACACAATTAGGTTATCGAGAAAAATGATACATCATTAAAAAAGGGGCTTGTCAATTTCGGCAATAAAAAGTAGGTTGAATATTGCGTAATACTTGATGAGAATTGAAACTCTCTTGAGACACATTTCAAGGTGATACATCAGAATTTCTAACTTGACTCCTAAATTCGCAATAACATTTTTGACATCAGTTTGATATTTTAGATACATTATTTACGAAATCACTTTCCATCAGACCGTTCACAAAACCGCAACAACGATTTGCAACGATTTGTCAAGCATTTCCCTACATACAATTCTGTCACATATACGAGGTCCGGCTATTAAATAACGATACTGCGCGCCTAGAGGGCGCCTTAGAGGGGTGGGGAAAAACAAGTAGTGCGTTGAGTATCTGGAAATCTTCTCTATTCACGTACCAAAACACGTTTTCGTCACTATTATAGTATTTGTGCAGTAGCGGTTTGAAACGAACGTGTTTTTTTTTCGTGCCGAAAACCATGTGTGACGAAAAACAGGAGCAACGTATCAATCCCAAATTTCTCGTGTAATTGAAAAAACTCCGACTGAGTGCTATAAATTCTTGCAAGAGGCCTATGGGGATAATTCTCTACCACGTGCACGTGTTTTTCAAGGGTGTAAGCGCTTCAGTGATGGCGGAGAGAGCAAGGATGTCCAAATCAAAATTCAAGGCAATGTTGATCGTTTTTTTCGACATTAACGGTATGATGACTGAATGGGTTCCAGAGGGTCAGACTGTCAACTAGACTTGTCAGTTTTGGCAACATTGCGAGATTTTGCGAGATTTTGCACCAGGACAAAGCACCTGCCCATAACGCGATATCTGTGAAGCGGTATTTGGCCGATAAACGCACTTCAGTGCTCGAACACGCGCCGTACTCACCAGATTTGGCACCGTGTGACTTTTTTCGTTTTCGAAGATGAACTCTGCTTTGAAAGGGACCCGAAATGAGTCGATGGAAGCNGGTCTTTAAAAATCAATTGAAAAAGCTATAGCGTTTCCGAAGCTTTTCTTTATCTTACCATTTTCTTTGTAAGTACCAGATTTGTTACATCTTTTTCCTTGTAAGTACCAGATTTGTTTAATCTTTTAGTAATGTAGTCACTAGACATAAGGATTTATTAATATTTTTATTTCACATTTCGCTAAATATTTTGTAAAATTGTAAATTGTAATGTAGACATTATTTATAGTTGTTATTGAAACTTCTTCGGGAGTCTGAATCCATTAATTTATGATGAGCCGGGGAATTAATGATGGTTCAGAGTCACAGACCACAGCTAGAGAAGATAAAACTTTTATGTTTGTAATGAACGTTTTAGAGAGTTATTTCCATAAACCAACTCTTAATTTTTCTTAACCCAAACGATAGTTCATTTTTCACATATTTTGTCCATATAACATTATATCTAAAGGTTTTCAAATCGAACATTGTTTTCTCAGTTAATATAATATTTGTGTTTCAAGTTATCAGTGAATAATAATTGTATAACATTATATTTCGAAAACGTGCTCTAAATTTATTATATTTGATCGTGCAAAATAGTGTTGGAAGTAAATTACATTATTGCTAACGTGAAACATATGAATACGAATTGAGCAATAATCGGCTTGTGTTCCAGAATAAATGAGAATTGATTTCGATAAGGGACACATATTATCGTAGGAAAACTACTAAGTATGTTTTCAACTGGATCGAATTACCCATAAGGCCAGCCTATCATGGCCTAAGACGAAGACTGGCAGGAAAGCAAATTAAGAAGAAAAATTTAAGAGCTTTTCGATAATTCAAAGAAAAAATCGAAAAACAACTTGTAAAACAACAAACAGCTCAGTCAAATCAATACATTTCAAATTCAGAACACACGAAGTGACAAGACATACAGCTAGAATTATTGTGTCAACTATCATTGGTTGACTGGTAGATTAGCGAAAAATAAACTAAACCATTTATCATTATTATTATAAGTTCACATGCAAAAATAACATCTACGGAATCAACATCATACTCGAATCTTTTCCATTCAATATGAATGAGAGTTCTCACGGCC